AACTCCATGACAACCTGGTGACTGTGAAGGCATCAATCATGACTCATTTCCAAAGTAATACCACTGAACTCATTTGACACAGAGATGTTTACCCTCGATAGAGAGAAAATAGAGCCTGAGGTGGAAGGATCTTTTGACATCACAGTGAGGGGGCTTCATAAATCTGATATCTTGGCAGCCTGCGGTGCTGCGATGCTCCACAGCGGTTTGATTTGGCCGGGAACCCAGACTGGAAGTTACAGGTGTCTTCCAGCCTCACGGAGAGCCGTGATTTTCAGCATGGCCTCGACAGAGGAACAGGAAGTATGTCGGAAATCAACGAGGCCTCAGTGAGCAGTGGAAGTTGGCTACGGAGGAGGAAATCCCCCAAACCCTCTAAAGGAATTGGTCCAAAGGTTCCTCTTTACCACAATGTGGGATAATAACAGATGTCTGAGTGTAAAATGTTATTGGCGCAAAAAAATGAGTGGAACATGACTCATCCTCTTGAAGAGTGTCACAGCTCACACCTTTATAGATGGAAGTCAACATTTCCACAAAGGATCCTGTTTAGACTGAGAGCTCACAGCAGAGTAAACACTGTGACGTCAGCGCTGATTCTAAGGACTACAACTGCCTTCATGTTCAGGACCTCTTCTACTATTTCTACGTAAGACTCGCCACTTAAATATTTTTTACATGTCCCACCTTAAAGATTTATTTTCCCACCTAGTATCCTGCACACTACTGTCATAAACCATTTAAATTCTTCAATAGAGAAAACTAGTCTTTAATAATCACCATGACTGACTGATTCTATTACCTGCTTAATTTAGTTTAGTTTGGTTTATTAGGATCCCTATTAGCTGAAGCCTTGCTGCAGCTATTCTTCTTGTGGTCCTCAACAAGCTGACAACTTAAGATCAACATAACAGTAATGAACAGGATGTCATTTAATATAACAACCACATAATATTAGAAAACTTAAGGGACATGACAAAACATCAACACAGTAACACACTAAGTACATCTTCTGGCAGCAGAATTTAGACCATGTTTTACTTCAGTGACATCAGTAAATAACAGTGATAAACAATAATCTCTGGTGTTGAAAGTTAAGCCAATGTGGAGGTTTTGCAGTTCCTAAATCGTCCACTTGAGGCTGGTTCCAAAAGACATGGAAGTCCCATACACACCCCCATATTAAAATGTTTGTTTTAACAACAGAAATAAACATGTATACTGCCAGGTACAAAAAATGATTTTGGTCTTAATTGTAAATGTCCTTATTGGCACACACTGTATTACTCACTCATTCTGATTTTCTGATGGCAGCGAGTTGTGCATGGTTAGGGACGTGACAGATCTGACTGCAAGCTGCCGTGTTGTAGCGGTTTGTCAGGAGGCTTAAGGCCCGCCTCAGCTCCAGCTCTTTGCCTGTCATAAGGTTGACCGAAAGTTTGATAGAGTAAGCATTTCCTATTTGCCAACCGCCATGGACCAGCTTCAGAAACCGATGGGTGACGTCACTCACGCTTCGTCCATAATCATTATCAGTCTGTGGTAACAGCCAGTGTTGGGTTGTCCATTGACCAATTGATGGTACAAAAGAATAATGGCAAACTAACTACTAATTAACCATTAGTGATGATATCCAAAAATCCATGCAGGCATAATTGTCACTTACGACCATACCACCCTGAACACGCCCAATCTCGGGGCTAAACAGAGTCGGGCCTGTTTGGTATTTAGATGTGAAAACCCATGGGAATACCAGGCACTTTAAGCACAGAGCAGTTAAACTAACAAGTTGAAAAACTACTATAGTTGCGTATAATAAAAGCTGCAATACTATGTATCATACATTTGTTTTAAATGTATAAAATGTGATGGAGAGGTAGAAAAATAGCTTTAAAAAATGTTAAATGAATGTTACAGCGGTGCTGATATGAGTATTTAGTATCATAAGTTTTCCCTCCAGAGGTCACATCAGTACAGCAAAAATACAGACATGAATAAAAATACAAGATAAGACACAAGTACACAAAAAGCCATGTAAACAAGGTAATTTCTTTTATTTCACACCTAAATCAACCGATTAATTTTTGTATGATGGAAATAAATTGAGAGTAAAGTAAACGGCAAACTCCAGTCTTCGTCAAGAAGCTTAAAACTCGCCTCAGCTCCAGCTCTCAGTCTGTAGTTAGGCTGACTGAAAGTTAAACTGAGACAGGATTTCCAGCATGGCGGCTGAAGGTTGCTGCCAATGAGCCTTTAGAGCCCCCTGCTGTAACAGATGGCTGACGTCACTCAGACTTCCTCCATTAATATTTACAGTCTATGGTTTAAAGTATAGACATTAAACTGAATATAAATATATGATGTAAATCACAAGTTATGGTCGTATGTATACTCTGCACTGATAATTAGTATTCACTTTGAAGAAGTGTCTAATGTTTTCTATATTTATTTTTTGCTTGTACTGTTTATTTAGATTTAATCCAAATAAACCTTTCAGTTAAAAAAAACAAAATCCAATATATAGGCCGATACCTACACATTTTTCCTCTAAGGTGAGTTTGTAATTAGTCCTCGAGAAACTTTAAACTTGTGGTAAACTTGACCCTGAATTTTTGATACCACAGTGCTATAGTTTTCATATACTTCCACAGACATATTGTATATATCACAGCATCAGACAGAAAATAAATAAGAAGTATACAATGAAAAAAACAAGGGAAGTTGTTATGAGATTTGTCCGTGCAGTTGTGATAGAAACTTCAGATGGAGATGGAATAGGGGCTTGCTCCGTCCACTCCACACATGTACCTGGTATTGCAGTACTTCCAGGAACGGTGCACCCCCCTTTTTAGGGGCGGCAGTAGCTCAGTCTGTAGGGACTTGGGTTGGGAACCGAAGGGTTTGTGTGCATGTGTGTATATTTCAGCCTATGTGTGTGTTGCATGACTACAGAGTGTAAAAACTGAAATTTCCCCTTGCGGGGATCAATAAAAGTTCATCTTAATCTTAATCTTAATCTTCATAAACAAGGAGACACATTAAAAACCTTCAGTGTCTGCTGCTTGAAACATTACAGGACACTGCCCTCTAGTGGACGTCAGCTGGAAGTACAGCACAGTGACAGGATTATGGTCCGACTTCAATCCGTATTATTTACTTCAGCAGCGCCCTTACTGCCCTTAATGTGACATGAGGGATTCACATGAAAAAGAATGATAGACTTATAGCTTTTGTATTTATTTACATTTCTTTGACATATATGTAAAAAGACTACATTTCTTTTAGCCATGTAGTAGCCTATATGCATGTATGTAACATACCAGATAACAATACATTCTGTATTTCTACTCACTTTTTTGCAGATTATGCAAAATTCTGAGAGAGAAACTTCAACATCGTTTTCTGTCTGTAAAGATTACTAAATTATTATTTGTATTTTGTAAAAAAAAAAGGCCTGTTTTTGGAAGGACTGTACAGTTTAATTATGCGTTGTATGAACACAATGAAATGTGATAAATTCAATGTACTTGCGTCCATTGTATTTCAAACTGATAATTCTTTGAAAAATTGTAGTGCAAATGGTTGGATAAATTTCATGAGTGACAAAAAGTTACATTTTTGATTAATATGAAAAAAGGTCTAAAGTTTATTAATATGTTGGTTTAAACATAGTTTTAGAGAAGGATTGTAGTAGCAATAATACATGTGGGCATCACCTCCTGCATGAAGTTGGATCATAATGTTTTGCAGTTATTTTCCCAATACTCGCCAATTTCCATTTATTTCTTCCTATTCATTCATTTTCACTGTCATCTAATTCATTTTCCCGAAATTACATCAAAATCATAAAATTGAAAATTGAAAATGAATTGATGGTCTTTCTGTAAACTGAATTCCTTCCGGGAGTAAATATGTTCCATCAATGATCATGGAAATCAATCTAGAAACCTCTCCACATCTTTGTCTAGCTTTAACTGTGGGGGACTCTGTACTCTTGCTTTTATTGCTGCTAAAAAAATGTATTGCTGTTAATTGGAAGGAGCCCTCCCCACCAACACTGTCTCAATGGAGGTGCAGAGCTGTCAAGTTGTGTCCCACTTGATAACCTGTATTACAAAATGAGAGGAAATCTGGTGATACATGAAAAAAACATGGACACTCTATTCGTGTACTTCATAAAGAACAACCCATAATTGAACTTGGTATGGTAACAATGTTATCTACTGTCAGTGATTAATTTAGTGGTACACTTTATGTCTACGGGGACATCTAGTGGGGAAGAGACACTTTTGTCAAGTGATGTATCTGGAGAGCTGATTGAAAATTGAATAACACTTATTGTTGTTGTTTTTTACTAGCCTATTAATTGTTTGTTTTTGTTTATATGTATTCCTCGCATGGTTTTGTTGGTCTTGTCAATTTTGTTCTGTTTGTATGAGAGCATTGCACACACACAGCACTGATCCTCACTCTGCAGGCCGGAGACTGGGAGAGGGCATGGTCCTCTGTTATCTGTGGTAGAGAGAATACTTTGCAAATTGACTTCATGGAAAAAAAATAAAAATCTTTTACTTAAAAAAAAAATGAATTGATGTTTTGTATATTTTTCTATATGTTATGTATTTTGTACCCGTGGTATGTTTGATGATAAATAAATAAATAACTTAAAATTATAATAATTATCATAATAAGCTATTGTTGAACAGTTTAAAAGAGGAGTAGAGATCTACATGGATGTAAACTATTACACAAGTACCCCATAACTTGTATTTAAAGCTCTCTTACAACATTAATAGCTCACACACGTTCAGTTTTGGCCAATGGGGGGCTAGAGGGATGCGAACGTGAATATTAACCATAGACTGTAAATATTAAGGAGCCAATATAAACTCATAAATCATCTTGACTTCGGACACGCCCCCTGTTCTCCTATTGGCTGCTCCGCTCTTCATCTGCTGCGCCCCCCCCCCTCCCTTCAGTAATTTAAATAGCCCCTTGCGCAATTTGATGAATAGTGTCGCTGTCAAAAGCGTCAGAAACAGATGAAGAGTCGTTAAGCGACAGACAGCTGTGAGAGAGCAGAGGGAGAGGTGCTGCGTCATGTCTACTTCTCACGGCTACATGTAGTTATTGTTTATCCGCGGAGGCGTGCCGTCCTAACCCGGGTTAATGTCAGCCGTGTTCTGGAGAACTATGGAGTCCACAACATGTCAAGTCTGAGCGCGGGTTTACAACTCTAATCCTGTCGAGATTCTTGTGAATATATTTCTTCCATCTTTTCAAACTTCAACGCAGGAGGGACACCTTTGGCTCGTGAAGGTAACGTCTCTTCTTTTTCCTGTTTTTCCCATCCGCGCGCGCGTTTCACAATTTAAACCGGCATCACCTAACTTAAAACTTAACCTCATAAAAAGAAAAACCCTAAGATTATCCCCCTTTATATGTAATCTTAAATTTAAATAAAGAAAAGTGTACTTTTATTCTGCTGTTTATTAAAATTTAAATCGTATCGAGGTTCCTGGCATTCTTCCAAAAGTGCCAAAATCAAAAACACATCGCAGGAATGCATATGCATATAACATTCAATCCATTTCCAATTGTTCAACACTACTTTTAAAATCAATAATAATATTATCTTAAAAGTACTAAATATCGAGGGATAAAGGAATTAAAATATTAACTTGCACGTGCTGCTTACTGTGTACAGGAAGTATGAAACTGAAATTGTCTTACTTGTTGTTAGTAGGCTACATTACCTGTGTTTAACCTGTTACAGCTCCAACAGTAACACTGATATCAATCATTAACTGTCATGCTGAAGCTATGGAGGTATGTCTGGGCCAGAGGAGATGACTTTTGTGTGTTTATCTTACTTCAGATAAGATTAGAAAACTTTACTAATCCCCAGCAGGAGAAACTCATTTGCTACCTGGTCAATTCAAACACACAGCAAACAATAAGGACAGCACAGTCACAATACACAACAAGTAAATAAATAAATAACAAACACCATTGAAATAAATATAATAATAATTTTCAGCCATGAATTCAGACACAGCTAAAAATGTTCATTAAAAATATGATCATTATTGCAAAGTAAATATTAAAAAATGGAAATCAAAATAAGCTTCTTCTGCACACAAAAGTCAGTTCAAGACTCATATCAGACATTTTCCAAGATGAAGAAATCTGAGTGTAAAAATGTTGCCTTTAACAGGTGATTAATTGTAAGAGGTTAAAAACCTGTGTCATTTGTTAAACCTGTTTTCTTTGTGTCAAAGGAGTATTCTGAGGGCATCATGGTGAACAGCCAGGCGTCGGGCGTACCACCGGCCCCTAGGTCGTGTGCAGGATGTGGGGGGAAGATTGCAGACCGCTTCCTTCTCTTCTCCATGGAACGCTACTGGCACACGCGCTGCCTCAAGTGCTCTTGCTGCCAAGCCCAGCTGGGGGACATTGGCACCACCTGCTACAGCAAAGGGGGCATGATTCTGTGTCGGAGCGACTACATCAGGTGAGAGGCAGGAAGAGGCAGGGAGGAAGCTGCTGGTTTCAGATTGGGAGGCTGTACACACTGAGCAATCTGTGTTTTCTGTGTTTGCAGACTGTTCGGGCACAGCGGGGCGTGCAGCGCCTGCGGCCAGTCGATCCCAGCCAACGAAATGGTGATGAGGGCACAGGGAAATGTTTACCACCTCAAGGTAAATCCCCAGATCTGACATCAGCACACTTTGTCTCCCGCTGCTTGTTTGACAGGAACATCTGGGATTTGTTGGGGGAGAGACAGCGAAATGGGAATGTGTGTCCCCTCTATGTGTCAGGAGAGAACAGAAATGTGCCCTCCATCTTTTTTCTTCTCCTACGTTAGCTGCTTTACTTTGAAGGAGGCCAATTTTTAAGGGACACTTTTGGTTTTTAAGTGCTTATTTATCCAACAACGTTTAATTTTATTTTGATGGTGACTTTGCTCAGTAAACTACAGTTCCCCGGATTCGATCAACACCTGACCCTTTGTCTATTTTCTTCTTCTGCAGTGTTTCAGCTGTGCCACCTGTAGAAACAGGCTGATGCCTGGCGATCGCTTCCATTACATCAACGGTAACATCTTCTGTGAGCACGACAGACCCGGCGCTGCCTTGCTCAGCAGCCACCTGCCTCCACTTCAGAGCAGCTCTGTCCTGACAGACCAGAAGGTGAATTAAAGGGTTTCTGATCGGACAATACAGAAAACATCTTTGGATACAGCAGAGCATTAATTCTCCTGACATGAACATTGCTGTAGTATAATGGGATTCATAAATTTATAGGGGAAAATGGCTGCAAAACACAAAAATGCAAAATTGGTACTTGTAAATATGTGATAAAAATCTGATCAGCTATTTTCATAATGTGCCTGACGGCGTCAAAGAAGTCCAAAAAATAACAGTTTAAAGAGTCGGTGAGAAACACATGAAGAGACGACATACAAAGACACAAAAGGCCATCGTTGAATATAACAAATACTTTTAATCAAGTAGAATTTATTGGTAGTAGTTTGAAGTTTGTAATTTAACCTGTAGATAATTTATTTAACTTCACTATGTTTTCCTGAAAACATAAATCACTATTAACTTTACAAATTCAAATTGATATCCAAACATTGAGATCAAAATAAGATTTAAACTTTTTCACTCCAGCTCGACTTTCTACAACACAATACTGCTTTACATGTTAACGCATCAGTATTAATGAAATATTACAGCTCCTAGCCATTAAACCTTTTATTTGAGCTTATATAGCACTTTTCTAATGTCCTGATTACTCAAAGCGTTTTTACACCTACACATTCACACCCTGATGGTAGAGGCTGCTATGTAAAGCCACTGACGAAGCAGTAGGAGCAATTTGGGGCTAAGTGTCTTGCCCAAGGACACATCGGACATGTGGCTGAAGTAGCAGGGGATCGAACCCCTGACCAATGTGCCCACTGCTCCATTTGATTTGACATGTTGTTAAAATTTGTTCACCTAAACATGATTTTGAATGCAAAATATTTTTTAATTCAATAGCACTTTTCTTGACGAGGTTACAGAGTATAGATATTTATACTTTGAATACATCATTTAACAACATACCTCTTGTGCCTGTTGTTTAATAAAAGTATGTTGTTTTTTTACTTCAACTTAACAGAAATCTTCACTCGTCAACTACTGAAGAATGTATGCTTTTCAAAACCCAAGACTTTGAAGAACAAATCTGGAAAATGTACTTTGACAAGCTATTACAGAAATCATAGTGTCCGTTACAATCAGTGTTTTTATTTGTCTTCAAACTGAAGACACAAGTTAGAAATGAACATAAACTTGAAATGTTTTGACCTTGAATCTAACTATTCCCTCTCTTTACTTACAGGTATGCTGAGCAGCAGGTGTCCTGTGTTTCCCTTCACTTCTCTTCAGTGCAACTTTTCCTCTCCTGCTTCTGTCGCCATGATGTGGACCCTCATCATCACAGTGCCTCTCTTTCTCCAGAGAGGATGCAGCTTCTCACCTACGACATCCCGTCAGTCACCATATCAGAGATCCTATATACGGCTTATAAAGTCACGTTTTTGTTGTGTTCTGTTGAAGTTGTCTGTGCATCATGCAGAGACTTGCAGACTATGTGGACTATACTGGCAACAAGGCTCATTCAGGACTAAGACAAACATGGAGGAGAACAATGAAGATGAACGCCTGCGCCAACTGGAAGAGGAAACAAAAAGGCGCTTGAGTGAACGTTTGATGGACTGCTGTAAAAAGACTGTCACAGCTTTGCTAATGCCATGTGAGCATCTGTGCTTTTAATGAACTCTTGATCTCTTGTAAATGTTGTACCTGATATACACGCTGAGGATTGGATATAAAAATGATGAAGTGTACAGTATGCAGGGACAGAAGTGTAATCTGAAAACTGCACTAGAATATTATTTTAAAGTCTGTAGGAAAACAAAATGTTTCTGTCACCTGTAACGCCCTGCACAAAACAACAGAAGCCACCCAGTCAAGTTTTTCTCTTCTGTAGAGGTTTATCAGATGCCTGTTCAGTGTGTGAAAAAATGTGGAGTAAAAAAAAAAAACCTATTAAAACGTTTTTCCCGTTACAGCTGAGCCGAGGTCATTTTGAAGCCCCTTAGCGGCATTAGAGAGACGTTGTATTGCATGGTACCTACTAGCATGGTGGATGTGACTGTCTCCCTCACTCCGTTTAGCCCTGTATGGTGAAAACATGCCTGATTACCCAGAGGAATGGAATTAGGGGGCTTGAGCTCTGACCATTTACAGAAGCAATTAAACATGAGCCGTGTATCTGTGCTGCTGGAGCTCCTGGGAGGCTGAACTTGGGGCATATCCCGTGGCTGACTGGCTCGGTGGCTGCCTGCCTCTAATAAAGCCTAATCTGAAAGCAGGCTAATTAAAGGGGAGTGGCCCCTTCTACATCCAGGGCATTTGAAACAATCTGATGTATTTACTGTTTACCATGTTCCAATTAAAGCTCCCACACAGCCTGATTTGTTTCCCATCACAGCTCTTTGTTCTCCGCCACTCTCTGCACCGCTTCTGAAAATTATTTTCCTAAGCTGCATCTAATTTGCTCTAACTCGATGCCTTTTTAATGCTTTGTAAAAACTTAAGAGTCTCTGCATACCATCGCAGGTTTGGAGTTAATCTTGGTGGTGAAGTACGCAGAGTGCAGGAAGCTCGAGATATTATCTGCTCTACTTTCACCCCTTGCCTGGGAGCATGGCAGCCATCAAACTCGCACCTTAATGCGCTTAGCTATTTCAAAACGTCCCACTTGTCATGGTAGGTGCTGATACTGCATCAATTATTTATTCCACGTCTGATCAAGAAGCGTCACGCAAATTCATTAACGTATGCAAATGATCACAATTACAATTATCTTTGTATCGTGATGATGAAGAAATAAAACCTCGGCACATTCCCGAATCCCTCAGCACCACAAGTTACACTTTGCATTCAAACTAATCAAGCCTCATCTGCCTTTTGCTAATTAGCCGGAACGTTTTCAGATGCCAATTAGCAGGTCTCATGAAAAGGCTCTTTGCCATGAGGCGTTGTCTTTTATCAGAGCTTCTGCAGGTGTGTGGCTCACCATGTAGCTTGTGTCATAGGAAAGTGTTTATTCCCGCTAATTAATCATATTAACACATGCAGATGAGTGTAATTGCCTGAGCTCCTCCACCTCACACTGTGTGAAGACACATGATGATGCCAGGGTATTTTTATATGCTTATGATGAAGAGAAAGAAAGCTTCCTTCTTACCCCGACACTCCTGTGATATTGATCCAAGATGGCTGCCTTCCTTCAGCCCAGTTCTTCTCTGATGCTGATCCGCCGGTCGGTCAGCCAGAAGCTCACATGGATTCGGACAATGTGCTGGCTAACACATCTCTGCGACCATCCAGTTTGCTTTGTGTCACCAGATGTGAACAGCGGGAGAATTCAGGTCTCAGTTTGATTGACAACAGTGAAGGTTTCTCAAATGGAGTATAGTCTACCTGAACTGTCACAGTTTTAACTCTAATTTTTTACCCTTTCTTTGATGCTAAATTCTCTTTGCTTTGTTTTCTGGTGCAAAATTTATCATATTCCTTAGGGGAAGATATTATATAATGTAATGGATGCAAGCTGTTTAATGCCCTGCCCCTGAATGATCAGCAACAAATAAACACAACTGATCGCTGAAACAATACATTGGTTGAAACATATTGCAGCTAACATTTATATTCAACTCCATACTTGCTGACATTGCTGTTAGCTAGTGTAACACTATTAGCTTGACGCTATGCTAATGGGCATTACTTGTCAAATTAAGCAGAGCACTGGTTATTATTCTTCTGCATACAGCGACACTTAAAAATAAATGTAACACATGCCTCCTAATCTGAATCCTGTCATACTTGTTTTTCCACTTGTGTTTGGTTTTACATGATTCATAATTGAGAGCACATAAGGAAGTCATTTGGAAGACTAGAAGCAACACTCAACATGGAAATTACAATAATGGGAACAAGTTGTAAACACTGTGTTTGACGCACATTTGCAGTGGTGATTCTGAAGTCTGTTTTGGAACTATAGGGAAAAATCCAAAGGAGAGTCCCCCAAACAGCATTCATCAACATGATGTTGTAAATAAACTGACACCAACAAAAAAAGATTCCCAAAGTTCACTATAGAAACCATGTTTATTTCTGTAAGATTGTGCATGACCAATGATTATGAACTGTTTATACTGTAACTACTAGCTCACGTTCTGTCAGCCTGCTAAGCTAGCTAGTCGACTGCCAATGATCAAACCCTGACTCGACTAACAGTGTTGGACACATTAGACTGATGATGACACTAGACAAGCTCAATAACGTTAAATGTCAAAGAACATAAAAACCCTAACCCTAGTAATGCTTGTGGAAGTTATGATATTCCAGTGACTCTCCTACTTTGTAAAGGCTAGACCATCAGCGTCATTCATTCATTTATTAAAGTAATCGTCATCATCTGTTCATGTACCGCTGTCTTGCTTTCTGTTGTTGAGCAGCACCTCTTCACTTTTGGTAGCCCACTAGCATAAAGGTTAAAAACTTAAAAATAAATTTAAAAAAAGGAACATACGAAAATGCAGGAATAGCTAATGAATCCACAACTCTGTAGAAAACAAAGAAAAAGTAGCTCCATACTTGAGGGCTAAGTAAAGCCACATTACAAGAGTTAAGTGATATTTCAAAGGTAGAAAATGGTCCTAGCCAAAACCATTTATTTTTAAAAGTAGGAAGTTATTCTCATTTGTTTACATTTTGTATGCTGAATTTTTACAACCAAAGTTCTGTCTTATCTTCATTGTCCAGAGTGTGGAGGCATTCAAACATAAATATCTCCAAACGTAGCCAAAAAACACCAAAACTATCTGCCGTGACATCTTTTCAGGGTAGGTGAGAATTGTGGGTACGCTGATCTGTGCAGGGAGGTTCTGTGAAGAGATTTTTGACCATCGGCATATATAACTGTCTATTTATTTTGTCTATTAAACAGAATGCTGTGAAGAAGTTCAGTAGAGAAACATACCAATGTCTGTTTCAAGGCAAAATCAACTTCTATCTTTATGTTGTTTTGTATTCAATGATCAAGTTTGAGTTGGATTAACCATCAAGGAGCTATTTGTTCAAAGAAGGAAATAGCAGTAACTAACATTAAACTGACTGATGTGGTTATGACACATCTAGGTGAGATACTGCATTCGGAGCACTTTAGATTTTTTATTTACTCATGAGTCATCCATAAAAGCTCCCATTTTACACCAATTTTAGAGAAGACAAAGCTTTAAGATTTTTAAGAAGGCGTTGAGCGTCTAAGAATCGTGACACTATTCTTGCAGAATAATAATTTCTTCAGTTTCAGCACAATGTTTGCAGTAGTTGGTGTTGGACAGGCTTATCTTGGCGATATGGACAAAATTAGTTTAAATCCTAAATCACTTTGTAGAAATGAGACTTCCTGTCTCATTTGTTATGCTACTTATCATTACCTTTGCTCTGCTAATAAACTAAAAGCAAATTCAAAGTAGGCCTACATGCTTTCTGTGTGAGTTTTCCCAGAAGAGAGTCAGAGACAGTAGTTAAAACAAAATAAAAATGTTTTTCCTTGAACTGCATACTGCACATTGTGACATCGATCATCAAATATAAAATTTAAAACAGATCACTACTTTGAGCTCTGTTTTTGTTCTTCAAAATGGATCCAACACTTTAAGTACAATGTTTTTTAATAAGATACAAATGATTCGGCAGGCCAGTGAGCTGACATTGAAATCAGAGAGGTTCAGTGTGTACGCAGTGTGTAGATGAATGCTGATAGACAGGTCTTGTCCACCCTGAGGCATTTAGCTCAACATAAGTATGTTTGCAGTAAAACCGCCATCTGCTTGTCACCATTTTCAAAAACCTAAGCATGTAAATTCAATGGTAGTGTGTGTAGAAAGATGGCATTTAGCTGTGCTGACAATCCCTCTGAAAGCTGCTCGGGCTGCCTAAGCTATTTATGGTAGCTCCAATCCCCGAGCACCAGATGACAACAACCAGCACGCCGCTAATTTGTGATAACCATAGTGTGTTAAATGTTCCAGCGATTCCTGAATCCTCTTTGAACTGGCTGAGGCTGCACTGCATACCCCGCATTGTATGCGAGTGAAACATGAGACACTGCTGGAACATGTAGGAAACGAGGCATGTTGTAGCCATAACTCACCGCCTTCAGCGTGCGAGCAGAGGAGCGTAATGACAAAGAGAGCGACTTTACAACTCCGAGCCTCATACAGGAATGTGAGGGAGGGGAGAGGGAGAAAAGTTCTTCTGGCCAATCGGAACGCTTTGAATAATTAAAGTGATCGGCTTAATTAGCTCAATTACGTTAATTTGACCACGGAACACGGCCATATGGTGAAAGGAAACAAAAGAGGGGGGAACTAATTAAAAGTAAAATAATGAGGATTTTAATTAACTGGCTCCCCAGACAGCAGAGCGCAGGGATCAGGAGCCTGCTACCATAATTAAAGTGCTGTAACGCTGGCAACATCTCTCCTCTCTTTCTTATATCTGTGAGGGCTCTATCCATCTAATTAAATCTGTAAATAAATTAGCAACATTGAGGGTTCCTGCTTGACTTAACACCGCCTGCAATCCACCCCCCACCTTCCCAATAACACGCTCACCTTACTTTCAGCACACCCATATGTAGGCAAAGGTTGTGCTAAGGTCTGTCATTAACAGAAGGATGTGGGAAAGGATTGTGTGTGTGTGTGTGTGTGTGTGTGTTCCTCTCTATCATGTTTGTGCAGGCAGATGCTCATGTTTGCTCCCTTTCATAACCCCGGATTCTGTTTTGAAGCTCAATCTGCTGAGAACACAGGCTCACACCAATCACAGGAGGCCAGGGCCGAGGTGACAGCGCCATCACCTCCATGTGTTACACATGTTCAGGCTGCAACCGGCCGCCATGCATGTTCAATACGTGCCATCTGGGCCTCCATTCTCGGCTTTTATAGACTGTACCTCTTACCTCGATCAGCCAAGCCTTCACCCTGTGCTCTCCTCAACCTGCTATGGCCTCTTTTCCCCCCATCTTCCCCTTGCACTCACTGTCAACCTGCAGGAGCCCCCGCCCGGGCGAAGCGAGAGCTTTTTCATTAAAATGCATTCAGATTGACAAGAGACTTATTTGCATATTAAATTAACAAGCACTTAAGAGTTCTGAGCGAACTGTTTCACTGCCAGCTCAGAGTAAATGAGGAGCAAGCGAGCGTTCGACTGTCATTACCCATGGCTGTCACCGTCGGACACGGTTGAGGGATGGTGTGTTGGAGAGATAGAGAGAGACAGATAAATATGATAGAGTCAACAAATGCATCGCCTCTTCCACCTCAAATGTCCCAAAATGTGTTTAGAATGGTGCATCAGGATGATTATAAGGCTGTCATTGTTTTGTTTTTTAAACCAC